GGGGAGAGGGGATGAGGGGGGGCACAGGGGGGCAGGATCGGGCCCGGGAGGGACAGACCCCACCCCATCCCGTGAGATCCCATGTTCCTGGCGTGTTCCCCTGTGTCCCGAGGTCCCTCATGATCCCATGTGATCCCCTGAGATCCCATGAGTTCCCGTGTGTTCCCGTGTGATCCCGTGTGTTCCCATGAGATCCCATGTGTTCCCGTGTGATCCCATGTGATTCTGTGTGTTGTGTGAGATCCCGTGTGATTCTGTGTGTCCTGTGAGATCCCATGTGATCCCGTGTGATCCCATGTGATTCTGTTTGTTCTGTGAGATCCCGTGTGATCCCATATGTTCCCATGAGATCCCGTGTGATCCCGTGTGACCCCGTGAGATCCTGTGTGATCCCGTGTGATTCTGTGTGTCCTGTGAGATCCCATGTGATCCCATGTGTTCCCATGTTCCCATGAGATCCCGTGTGATCCGGTGTGTTCCCGTGTGATCCCGTGTGACCCCGTGAGATCCCGTGTGATCCCGTTACCTCCTCTCAGGGCTCCATCTTGGTCCCTCTGGGCGTCGCCGCGGGGCCTGTGGGGACAGGGGACGGGCCAGTACGGACCAGTACAGACCAGTACGGACCAGGAAAGACCAGTATGGACCAGTACGGACCAATGCTCACCAGTATAGACCAGTACTCACCAGTACAGACAGGTATGGACCAGTACCCACCAGTATGGACCTGTACTCACCAGTATGGGCCAGTACCCAACAGTACAGAGTCATCAGTACCCACCAGTACAGACCAGTACAGACCAGTACGGACCCATTGTCACCAGAATGGAGCAGTACCCACCAGTATGGACAAGTACAGGCCACTACCCACCAGTACAGACCCACCAGTACAGGCCAGTATGAGCCAGTTCCCACCAGCATGGACCAGTACCCGCCAGTACAGACCCACCAGTATGAACCAGTACAGATGCACATAGCCCAGTATGGCTCAGCACAGCCCAGTATGTTTCCATCTACCCCAGTACGGCCCAGTCTGACCCAGCACAGACCAGCAGAGCCCAGTTTGTCCCAGTACAGCCCAGTATGGCTCCACACACTCCAGTATGGCACAGAACAGCCCATTATAGACCAGCACAACCCAGTAAGACCCAGCATATTCCAATGTGGCCCAGCACAGCCCAGTACAAACCAACATGGCCCAGTACAGACCAATATGGCTCAGAACAGCCCAGTACAGACCCAGTACAGACCAGTACAAGACAGCTCAGCCCAGTATGGCCCACTACAGACCAGTAAAGGACTGCACAACCTGGCACAGACCCAGTACAGACCAGTACAGGACAGCTCAGCCCATTGTAGACCCAGTACAGACCAGTACAAGACTGCACATCAAGTATGACCCAGTACAGACCAGTACAGGACAGCTCAGCCCATTGTAGACCCAGTACAGACCAGTACAAGACTGCACATCCCAGTATGGCCCAGTACAGGACAGCTCAGCCCATTGTAGACCCAGTACAGACCAGTACAAGACTGCACCTCCCAGTATGACCCAGTACAGACCAATACAGGACTGCACAACCCAGCACAGATCCAGTACAGACCAGTACAGGACTGCACATCCCAGTATGGCCCGGTACAGCCTATTACAGCCCAGTACAGGACTGCCCATCCCAGTATGGCCCATTACAGCCCATTACAGCCCAGTACAGGACTGCCCATCCCAGTATGGCCCATTACAGCCCATTACAGCCCAGTACAGGACTGCCCATCCCAGTATGGCCCAGTACAGCCCAATACAGGACTACACAGCCCATTATGGACCCAGTACAACCCAGTATGGCCCAGTTCAGCCCAGCATGGCCCAGTACCCAGAGACCACCCCCCCCAGTGCCTCCCCCAGGCCCCAAGATCG